GGTTTGATTCCCCACTCCTCCACTTGCAGCTGCTGGATGACCTTGGGCAAGCCAGAGTTCTATCAGAGCTGTTCTTGAAAGAACAGTTCTTGAAAGAGCTCTCTCACCCCCACAGGGTGTCTGTTGTGGGGCGGGGAAGGGAAAGGAGTCTGTAAGCCGCTCTGAGACTCCGAGTGAAGGGCAGGGTATAAATCCAATCTCTTCTTCTTAAAAATCCGAACAGCCAGTCGGATCTGCAATGGCCAATCTAAACTCCTGCTGAGCAAAAGCCCAACTTGACCCCGCCCACTTAAAAAAACCCCACTTGGCGGGCGTCAGGAAAGGCGCCCGTGGGCACCATGTTGGGGACCCCTGAATTATAGCATGAATCCGTCAAGTATTGTCTCGAAAAGAAAAAGAAAAGAAGCAAAGCCAAGTAGCAGAACTGTGCCGAAATGACCCTGGCTGGCTTGCGTGGTGTTTGGAACAGGCACCCTTGGGGGTTTGTGAGTGTTGACTGCTATGCTCATGGAGACTGTTCTGGAAATGAAGTGTTTGGGGGGTTTCCTCGGCAGCCTTCTTCATCTGCGTGTGTTTGGGTGGGTGATGGGCCCGGCGAGCCTGGGAATGCCACCCCCGTGAGATGGTCCCCTTTGATTTCTTTGGGCGGAGTGCTCGTCAAAGCCGTGGCTCTGCTTCTCCGGCAGGTTTGGAAAGGTTACGGGCCAACCTCTTGTTTGGCGGTCCGTGCAGCTTCCTTGGGTTTCAAGAGCTTGGCAGGGGCTGTGCTCGCTCTACCGGTGTGAGGTCCGTGCCCCATGTGGTCTCACCTTTCCGTTTAGAGCAGATCGGCAAGGCCTGGAATTGACTGGACACGGAGGAAAAAGAAGAAGAGGAGGAGACTGGATTTATACCCCGCCCTTCACTACCCAAAGGTGTCTCAGAGCGGCTGACAAACTCCTTTCCCTTCCCCTCCCCACAACAGACACCCTGTGAGGTAAAAGAAGAAGAGGAGATTGGATTTATACCCCGTCCTTCACTACCCAAAGGTGTCTCAGAGCGGCTGACAAACTCCTTTCCCTTCCCCTCCCCACAACAGACACCCTGTGAGGTAAAAGAAGAAGAGGAGATTGGATTTATACCCCGTCCTTCACTACCCAAAGGTGTCTCAGAGCGGCTGACAAACTCCTTTCCCTTCCCCTCCCCACAAGAGACGCCCTGTGAGGTCAGTGGGGCTGAGAGAGCTCTGACAGAAACTGCTCTTTCTCAAGAACAGCTCTTATCAGAACTACGGCTTGCCCAAGGTCATCCAGCCAGGTGCAAGTGGAGGAGTGGGGAATCGAACCCGGTTCTCCCAGATTAGAGTCCGCACACTTCACCACGACACCAAACCATTAGCGAACATTTCAGAGGGTAACCCTAGATCCGAGGCGACGGCTTTCTGCTTTCTTTTGGCTTCGCTGGATGTTTTAAGATCCTGTGCCCTGTAAAACCCTGATTTCCGTCAAACACGTCTGCAAACCAGGAGGCGATGTGTCCCGAAACTGGGTGGCAGGAGGAAGAGTGTGAGTGGTGTGTATGGTGTGTTTGTGTGTGTTTGGGGTTGCAAAGGCAGGCTATAAATAACCTGTTCTATCCTATCCTTGGCACCCTGCCCTGGAGCTCTGCCCGAGAGCTTATCCCGCTGGCCAGAAGCCACCCAGTGGTGCCGTGTTTCTGCCGCGTGGTCGCCAGACACGCAGGACCTCTTTGAGGAGGCTTAGCTCCTTGGTTCCCTGAACTGTGCTGGGAGTGATAAGAGAGAGGTGGCTTGGCCGACCTTTGCTGAAACTCCGGGGATGTATAAATATCCGGTCTCCAGTCTTGCGGTTTCTTCTGCAGGGCGCCACGGCGTTGCTGCCAGTGGGCTAGGACCCAGCAGTGCCCAAGGTGTAAGGTGATGCACATTGCGGCAAAAAAAAAGGTCCCAACTTCTAGTAGAGGCCGATGAGTTCTGAACTCGTTGAGAGGGGAAAAGATCTCGGGGTTGTCGTGGACAGCTCAATGAAGAAGAAGAGAAGAAGAGATTGGATTTATACCCCGCCCTTCACTACCCAAAGGTGTCTCAGAGCCGCTTACAAACGCCTTTCCCTTCCCCTCCCCACAACAGACACCCTGGGAGGTAAAAGAAGAAGAAGAGATTGGATTTATGCCCCGCCCTTCACTACCCAAAGGTGTCTCAGAGCGGCTTACAAACTCCTTTCCCTTCCCCTCCCCACAACAGACATCCTGTGAGGTAGGTGGGGCCGAGAGAGCTCTGACAGAAACTGCTCTTTTTCAAGAACAGCTGTGCCAGAACCATGGCTTGCCCAAGGTCATCCAGCAGGTGCGAGTGGAGGAGTGGGGGAATCAAACCCGGTTCTCCCAGATTAGAGTCTGCGCACTTAACCACTACACCAAACTGGTTCTCTGTGTCAACCCAGTGTGCTGCAGCGGCGAAAAGGGCAAGCTCTATGTTGGGGTTGATTAGAAAAGGGATTGAGAATAAAACGGCCGATATTGTAATGCTCCAGTATAGATCATTTGGAAGACTGGGTACAGTTCTGGTCACCGTATCTCAAAAAGGTCACTACAGAGCTGGGAAAAGTACAGAGGAGGGCGATCAAGATGATGAGGGGGTTGGGGGCACCTTTTCCCCCCGTGAGGAAAGGCTGAAGAGTCTGGGACTTTTCAGGTTATAAAAGAGATGACTGAGGAGGGACATGAGAGAGAGTTACAAAATTATGCATGGGGTGGAGGGAGTTGACAAAGAGAACTTTCCCCCCTTCTCCCAAGATACTGAAACCCGAGGGCCTCCAGTTAAGCTGATGGGCAGTAGGTTCAGGACGGACAAAAGGAACTGCTTTATACAGTGAGTGATTAAAATATGGAATTTGTTGCCAGAGAATGTAGTGATGGCCACAGGCATACATGGCTTTAAAAGGGGGATTACACAGATTCTTGGAGGAGAGATCTGTCAGTGGCTACCAGCCATGGTGACTGAGGGGAGCCTCCACATTCAGAGGCAGTAATTCCAGAGCTGGGAGACATCATCTGGGGAAGGCCTCGGCCTCTCTGCCCTGTGGTTGGCCCTCCAGAGGACCTGGTTGGCCACTGTGTGAGACAGGATGCTGGACTAGATGGACCCCTGGCCTGATGCAGCAGTGCTCTTCGGATAAGAGCCAGTTTGGTGTAGTGGTTAAGTGCGCAGACTCTAATCTGGGAGAACCGGGTTTGATTTCCCACTCCTCCACTTGCAGCTGCTGGATGACCTTGGCCAAGACATAGTTCTGTCAAAGCTGTTCTCTCAAGGTCTTGAAAGAGCTCTCTCAGCCCCACCTGCCTCACAGGGTGTCTGTTGTGGGGAGGGGAAGGGAAAGGAGTTTGTAAGGCGCTCTGAGACTCCTTTGGGTCGTGAAGAGTAGGGTATAAATCCAATCTCCTCCTCCTCCTCCTTCTTCAAAATTCCAAGACGTTCTCTCTCCAGTCGGCATTTGCATTCAAAACTTGAAATTTATTGAGCATAATTGAAACAGCATTAGTCGTGCTTTGTTTAGTTTCTTTCTCTCTTGTTTGTTTCTTTCTCTTGAGAGCCAGTTTGGTGTAGTGGCTAAGTGCGTGGACTCTAATCTGGGAGAACCGGGTTTGATTCCCCACTCCTTCACTTGCACCAGCTGGATGACCTTGGGCAAACCATAGTTCCGTCAGAGCTGTTCTTGAAAAAGAGCAGTTTCTGTCAGAGCTCTCTCAGCCCCACCTACCTCACAGGGCGTCTGTTGTGGGGAGGGGAAGGGAAAAGGAGTTTGTAAGCCGCTCTGAGACACCTTTGGGTAGTGGAGGGTGGGGTAGAAATCCAATCTCCTCTTCTTCATCATCCCTGGATGCTCCGTGCCAGAAGGAAGCGAACAGAGCAGAGGAGACGTTGACATTTGATGAGAGAGTGACCAATTTTTTTTATTTATTTTTTAAATTGCACAAGCAAATTTTAGTTGCAGGGAATCCTTCCGACCGACCTGTGACGCAGAACGTTTTTCTCTGTAAAAGGGCAAGGCCCAGATCTCTCTGGGAAGGGGCTGTGGCTCAGCAGTAGAACATCTGCTGGGCATGCAGAAGGACCCAAGTTCAGTCCCCGGCATCTCTAGTTGAAAAGGACCAGGCAATAGGACCTTGACCCGAGTCCCTGGCTCAAGGGTAGAGCATCTGCTGGGCATGCAGAAGGTCCCGGCTTCAATCCCCGGCATCTCCAGTTAGAAAGGAACAGGCAGGAGGTGACGGGAAAGACCTCCACCTGAGACCATGGAGAGCTGTGTAGAGGGGCTGTGGCTCAGTGGTAGAACTTCTGCTTAGCATGCAGAAGGCCCCAGGTTCAATCCCCGGCATCTCCAGTTAGAAAGGAACAGGCAGGAGGTGATGGGAAAGACCTCCGCCTGATGGACAGCTGTAAAGAAGGGCCGTGACTCAATGGTAGAGCATCTCCTTGGCACGCAGAAGGTCCCGGGTTCAATCCCCGGCATCTCCAGTTAGAAAGAAACAGGCAGGAGGTGATGGGAAAGACCTCCGCCTGAGACCGTGGAGAGCTGTAAAGAAGGGCCGTGGCTCAGTGGTAGAGCATCTGCTTGGCATGCAGAAGGTCCCACGTTCAATCCCCGGCATCTCCAGTTAAAAGGACCAGGCAGGAGGTGATGGCAAAGACCTCCACCTGAGACCGTGGAGAGCCACTGCCAGTCTGAGAAGACAATACTGACCTTGATGGACTGATGGTCTGATTCAGTATAAGGCACCTTCTTGGGGAGTGGCTGTGGCCCAGTGGTAGAGTATCTACTTCACATGCGGAAGGTCCCAGGTTCCATCCCCGGTATCTGACAGTAGGTGACGTGAAAGACCCGAGAACCTGGAGAGCGGCTGCCAGCCAGAGCAGACGATCCTGACTTTTGACAGGCCAGTTTTCTGATTCAGTATGTTAGCTTCATGCGTTCCTCTGCTCTCCTCTCCTTGTCTTTTAGCAACAGCAGCGCGGAGTCCTTGGACAGGCTGCTGCCTCCCGTGGGCACCACACAGTCGCCACGGAAACGGACCACCAGCCAGTGCAAATCGGAGCCCCCCCTCCTGCGGACGAGCAAGAGGACCATCTACACCGCCGGCCGGCCGCCTTGGTACAATGAACACGGCACACAGTCGAAGGAGGCGTTTGTCATTGGTGAGAGAGCTCGCTGGCCAGGGCGCCATTTTGAATGTTCTTTTAAAAATGTGAATTTTTTTAAAAAAAATTGCAACCCCCCAACCAGAAGAAATTAAAGAATATAGTAACAATGATGGCAGGACTACAGATAAGCCTCTGTAAAAGGTTCCCAGATATCTAAAATATGTACATGTGCAGTTGTCGTCTATATGCCATTTCTTCAAATGCTGATAAGGTTGCATTCCACATTTTAGAGAGTGACTAAACTGTGGAATGAATAAATAAATAATTCACTGCCAGAGGAAGTAATGATGGCCACAGGCTTAGATGGCTTTAAAAGGAGATTAGATAGACTCATGAAGGACAGGTCTATTGGTGGCTACTAGTCATGGTGACTGAGGGGAACCTCCACATTTAGAAACATCAGTGGAAGGTCTGTGCCGCTGTACCCTGTTGCTGGCCCTCCAGAGGAACTGGTTGGCCACAGTGTGAGACAGGATGCTGGACTAGATGGACCACTGGTCTGACCCAGTAGGGCTCTTCTGATGTTCTTTTTTTTTTTTTTTATCCCTTGAAAACAGGGTAGCTTTATTAATTTTTGTTTCACCTACATAACTACAAAGGAAGAAAAGGGAGAAGGGAAAAGGGGAGGGAAAAAAAATAACAAACTAAAATAATAAAACCCCGGGATACAGACAGTAAATAAAGAAACCCACACTATAACTAAAAACCCAAGAAAGGAAGGTCTTATACAGTTAGTATACAGTTAGTTATAAAACTTATAGTTTTTCGTTTAAGTCAATGAAATTTAGGAGTTAGTTAGTCCATTTTAGTAGTTATCAATTTTCTTCTTAGTGTGCACAAAGTCTCTTTCATCCATGTCAGTTATAAATCTTTCAGTTCATAAGAGTTACTTGGGTACTCTTAGCCGCAAGTCATATGTATCTCTGGCCGCGCCTCCTTCTGCTCCTGCTGGGTCTCCGTCCATCTCTTTCAAGCTGTCTGCAGAGCCTCCTCTGTCTGGCTGTTCTTCCATTTTCGATCCAAAAAACTGCTTCAACCATTCTTCCGCTTTGAATACCGAGTCTATTTTTTCTTTCTTTTCCTTGTATTTAAACAGCACGCCCTCTGGATAGAGCCAGGTATACTGGATCTGGTTGATCTGGAGTGTTGAGATAAGTTCTTTATATGCTTTTCTTTTCTGCCGAACCTCAAATGGAACGTCCTTTAGGACCCTGATAGTTGCTGATCTCAATTGCAGAGGTTTGGCTGCAGTCGCTTTGAGAATATCGTCTCTTGTCTGTCTTCGGAGAAACTTGACTACAATCTCACCCGGCATGTTGTTTTGCTTGATATACTTAGAGTAAGAACGGTAAACCATTTCAATCTCTGTTTGCGCTTCAAGCGATTCATTGCCGAGTGCTAATGCGATTAACTCTGCCGCCACTTCCTTCAAGCGGGATGCTGGACTAGATGGGCCACTGGTCTGACCCAGCAGGGCTCTTCTGATGTTCTTCTCAGGGGAAGGCCTTGGTCTCTCTGCCCTGTTGCTGGTCCTCCAGAGGAACTGTTTGGCCATTGTGTGAGACAGGAGGCTGGACTAGATGGACCTCTGGTCTGACCCAGTAGGGCTCTTCTGATGTTCTTATGAAAGCCTTGGTCTCTTTGCCCTGTTGCTGGTCCTCCAGAGGAACTGTTTGGCCATTGTGTGAGACAGGAGGCTGGACTAGATGGACCTCTGGTCTGACCCAGTAGGGCTCTTCTGATGTTCTTATGAAGGCCTCGGCTTCTATGCCCTGTTGCTGGTCCTCCAGGGGAACTGGCTGGCAGGGCTCTTCTGATGTTTTTACATAAGATCCTCAAACCATTGGTTTCTAGGAGCTGGGCATATATTTCTCCAGTGTCGTAATGTATTGAGTGTTCTGTGATATGATAATGCCCCTGTTTAGATGTAGGGCGCAGTCACATTGATCCAGCAGGGCTCTTCTGATGTTTTTACATAAGATCCTCAAACCATTGGTTTCTAGGAGCTGGGCATATATTTCTCCAGTGTCGTAATGTATTGAGTGTTCTGTGATATGATAATGCCCCTGTTTAGATGTAGGGTGCAGTCACATTCGGAACACCTTGTACTATTCTGGTCAGCGGACCTCAAAAAAGGATTCTACACAGTTAAAAAAATACAGAAGAGGGCAAGTGAGAGGTCATCCAGTGTGTTAGAGCACCTTTCCAATTAGGAGTCTGGGATTTCTCAGTTTAGCAAAAAAGATGTCTAAGGGGGAATGTGATTGAAGTTTGGTGTCGTGGTTAAGTGCGCGGACTCTAATCTGGGAGAACGGGGTTTGATTCCCCACTCCTCCACTTGCACCAGCTGGATGAACTTGGGCAAGCCATAGTTCTGTCAGAGCTTTTCTCTCAAGAGCAGCTCTGGAAAGAGCTCTCTCAGCCCCGCCTACCTAACAGGGTGTCTGTTGTGGGGAGGGGAAGGGAAAGGAGTTTGTAAACCACTCTGAGACTCCTTTGGTAGTGAAGGGCAGGGTATAAGTCCAACCTCCTCCTTCTCTGGGAGAACCGGGTTTGATTCCCCGCTCCTCCACTCACAGCTGCTGGATGACCTTGGGCAAGCCGTAGTTCTGACAAGAATTCACAAAACCAAACAAGGACCCACGGTAGGTAGGAAAACCAACATACAATAAATACCGTGCACATGACTATGAAGATTAATATGTATGAAGAAATTATTGTTATAATATTTTTCTAAATATATAAAATTATTTATGATATGTTATAATTCATCTGTGCACGGTATTTATTGTATGTTGGTAGTTCTGACAAGAGCTGTTCTTGGAAAAGAGCAGTTTCTGTCAGAGCTCTCTCAGCCCCACCCACCTCACAGGGTGTCTGTTGTGGGGAGGGGAAGGGAAAGGAGTCTGTAAGCCGCTCTGAGACTCCAAGTGAAGGGCGGGGTATAAATCCAATCTCTTCTTCTTCTTCTTCCTATTGCAAGTGGTATCCCAAGAAGAAGGGAAATGCAAGGCCAAGATGTCCTGACATTCATCGGGGCCATAAACTCCCAGTCTGCAAGCAAACTCTTACCTACGAATTCTGTTCTGACACAGATGTGAATTGCTACATACCAGTAAAGAAAAATGTGAAGATCCACTGGATTCTAAACTGCCCCTGTTCCCTGGTCTGAACTTTCCCCCTTGTTCCTTTCCAGGTCTCGGAGGAGGAAGTGCTTCTGGGAAGACCACCGTGGCTAGAATGATCATAGAGGCTCTGGACGTCCCCTGGGTGGTCCTTCTTTCTATGGACTCCTTCTACAAGGTGAGGAAAAGAGACGGGGCTGGGAATTGCTGCCTCTGGCACCCTAGCCTTGAGAGCCGTGGTGGCTCAGAGGTTAAGACGCTGAACTGCAGACCGGAAGGTCGGTAGTTCGGCAGTTCGAGACCCGAGTGTGCCGCGTGGCAGAGTGAGCTCCCCTCTCTGGCCCCAGCTCCTGCCAACCTAGCTGTTCGAAAGCAAGAAATGGCAAGTAGATCAATAGGTTCTGCTTCGGTGGGGAGGCAACGGCGTTCCGTGCGCCTCGGTGTCTAGTCATGCCGGCCACCTGACCACACAGACGTCTTCGGACAGCGCCGGCTCTTCGGCTTGGAAACTGAGATGAGCGCCGCCCCCTAGAGTCGGATCTGATTGGCTTTCGAGCGAGGGAAACCTTTCCCCTTTCCCTTTTGTCCTAGCCTTTGAATATCCCTTTTTAAAATTCATTTGAAAGAATAAACTGCCAAATGGAAGTCTCATCGAATAACGTTCAAATCAGAATGTCGGTATAAGCAGAGACAGAAGGATGTGTTGCTTCTGGTTCAGAATATCCTTGTGGCCAAACTATACATCATGCACGTGGGGGCAGATAACTCCCCTTTCAGAGGTCATTTTGCCATGGGGAAATGGCATGGGGGGGTGAGCTTCCTGCCCCCCCCCAAGCTGTGGTCCCTTCGGACCTTTAAATTTCTGTTCCCCTGACCCAGCGTTACGAAACGTAATTTGTCATGTGACCCTCCATTGTTAAGCCTCAGGTCTCAGCAGAAAATGGAATTAGAATAATTAAGAGGGTGTTTAAGGAGGTCTGTGTCCGGCACTGTCGTAAAGGACGACTCCGTCACAAAACGAATTAGTCACCTGCAGAGTGGTTAAAGGAAAAGGTAAAGGTTCCCTTGCTCGAAAGCCAAGGCGCACGGAATGCTGTTCCCTTCCCACCGAAGTGGTACCTATTTATCTCCTTGCAATTTCTTGCTTTCGAACTGCTAGGTTGGCAGGAGCTGCATCTAGAGACAGGAGCTCACTCCGTCATGCGGCAAGCCGGGTCTCGAACTGCTGAACTACTGACCTTCCACAGCCTGCAGTTCAGCATTACTTGGGAGGAAATTAAGAAGAAAAGGAGGAGATTGGATTTATACCCTGCCCTTCACTACCCAGAGGAGTCTCAGAGCGGCTTACAAAACTCCCTTCCCTTCCCCTCCCCACAACAGATGCCCTGTGAGGTAGGCGGGGCTGAGAGAGCTCTTGACAGGGACTGCTGTTTTTCAAGAACAGCTCTTATCAGAACTACAGCTTGCCCATGGTCACCCAGCAGGTGCGAGTGGAGGAGTGGGGAATCAAACCCGGTTCTCCCAGATTAGAGTCCGCGCACTCAGCCACTACACCAGACTGGATATTCCCAATGCATTTGAGAATCAAACCCACGATGGAAAGGGAAATTAATTTAAAAATATACTAGGAAAATAAATGAAAACAGAAGATGGACCGGTAATCCAATTAGTTATACGAGGCACTTTCACACACACTAAATAGCATACTTTTAACCCAATTTCAGTCCACTTTGTGGCTGGGTTTTGCGGTGTGAAATGGCAAGATCCACTAGCAAACCACCGCTGAAGTGGCTTGAAGTGGCCCTCTTTCATCTCTCTATACTCCCCTTCCTGTCTCTTGCTGGTACAGTCCAACTAGACTTGCCATCCTTCAGATGGAACCTGGAGTTCTCCCGGAGTTGCAAGTGATTTCCAGACTGCAGAGATCAGTTCCCCTGGAGGAAAGGGCCGCTTCGGAGGGTGGACTTTATGGTATACCATAGAGTCTAGGAGAAACTGAAGTCCCTTTTCCAAGCCAGACTTGGCAAATGCAGTACCTTAGAAGGTCCTTCCTTCCTTCCTGTATCCTGGGGAGGAGCCATGGCTCAGTGACAGAGCATCCACTTGGCACGCAGAAGGTCCCCGGTTCAATCCCGGGCATCTCCAGTTAAAAGGACCAGGCAGGAGGTGATGTGGAGGACCTCCGCTTGGACCCTGGAGAGCCGCTGCCAGTCTGAGTAATGTGGGTCTGATTCAGTAAAAGGCAGCTTCATTTATTCATGTGCGCTCCGCTCTTGGGGAAGGAGCTGTGGCTCAGTGGAAGAGCCTCTGCCTGGCGTGCAGAAGGTCCCAGGTTCAGTCCCTGGTATCTCCAGCTAAAAGGACCAGGCAGGAGGTGATGTGGAGGACCTCCGCTTGGACCCTGGAGAGCCGCTGCCAGTCTGAGTAATGTGGGTCTGATTCAGTAAAAGGCAGCTTCATTTATTCATGTGCGCTCCGCTCTTGGGGAAGGAGCTGTGGCTCAGTGGAAGAGCCTCTGCCTGGCGTGCAGAAGGTCCCAGGTTCAGTCCCCGGCATCTCCAGCTGGAAGGGCTAGCCAGTGAGTGATGTGAATGACCTCAGCCTCAGACCCTGGAGGGCCGCTGCCAGGCTGAGTCGACAATGCTGACCTTGATGGACCAAGAGTCCATATAAGGCAGCTTCATGTGTTCATATGTGATCTTTTGGGGAGGGACCATGGCTTAGTGGTAGAGCCTCTGCTTGACATGCAGAAGGTCCCCAGTTCAATATTCGGCATCACCAGTTAAAAAAGGACCAGGCAGGAGGTGATGAGAAAGACCTTCACCTGAGACCCTGGAGAGCTGTAAAGAAGGGCCATGGCTCAGTGGAGGAGCCTCTGCTTGGCATGCAGAAGGTCCCAGGTTCAATCCCCGGCATCTCCAGTTGAAAGGACCAGGCAGGAGATGTTGGGAAAGACCTCCGCCTGAGACCCTGGAGAGCTGTAAAGAAGGGCTATGGCTCAGTGGTATAGAGCCTCTGCTTGACATTCAGAAGGTCCCAGGTTCAATCCCCGGCACCTCCAGTTAAAAAGGACCAGGCAGTATTTGATGGGAAAGACCCTGGAGAGCGGCTGCCGGTCTGAGTGGACAATACTGGCCTTGATGGACGCAGGG